CTCGCACCCGCCGTCCCCCCCCCCCCCGCACCACACTTGCACCTACCTATCTAGGTACTTTCTCAGGACTGGGATACCGAGTGTCCTGGCTAGCCCAGTCCTGGGTCCCTCAAACTCTCACTTACCCAAAGGCTGGATCTGTCCTGCCTGGTTTGACCAGAACTGCAGAGCCTGGGGAAACCAGTCACCTTTTATCTCCGGGGACCCCGAACACTGACAGCAAAGCCTGCTGGCCTGATAATCCAACCCTCCGTGACCTGAAACCTGCATCCCTCCCAGGACTTCCAGCAACTGGGATTGGACTGTCTGGGGTTCAGTTCTTCTTCTTTGGGTGACTTTTCCCTCTGGGTTGGGGGGAGACCTGCTGAGTGTGGCAAGTCCTGGCTTTGCAACGGTCCGGAAATCAGAGACTCAAATGAGCACCAGACAAAGGGAAGTGGGGGCTGAGGAGGTTTTAAGGAGAGCTGTGACCATAGGACTTCATCCCTGTAGTGTGCTGAGCTGATGCCTGTGAGTAGGTTTACCTGCAGTGCACACGGACCTTGCAGCCATGTTTATGGTCCACCAGCCCTGAGAGGCTGGCCCTAGGCACCAAGAGGGCAGGCCATGCATTAAGAGACCTGCACAGACCAGCTGGGGGTTTCAACAATTGGAGCCAAACATCCCTGGCCGTGATTATGCAGCAGCAGCTCGCATTGACTCCAGTGGGAGTTGCGCACCGACTGTGCTGCACAATCGGCACCATGGGGCTGTCTCACACCAGTGGAGTTGTACTGTCCCAGCGGGCCCGTTCCTCCCTTAGCCCAGAGCCAGGGAGATGAGAAGGGGGCCCTAGACCTGAACTCTACAAAGGCATCACCCTCCTTGTACAGCTGACACTGCACTGCCCAGCTTCCATTCCAGGAACCGCTGTGGGGGAAGCGACTATGGGTGGTTAATTCCCAAAGTTGTCCCCTTTCTCCCCAACGGGCCTACTCCAGCCAACAGCCGGAAACTCCCATGTGCTGAGGAAGGTCAGGTCTGGCTCTGGCTACAGGCCCAGGGCAGAACAGGCTGCCACCCTCTGTGTGGTGGGACTGGAAGAGTTAATTTCAGTCCCTCCTTGGACAGGTCCCTCACCGGATTCAGGGACTAGGTACTAAAGCAGCTGTTCTGGCAGCCATGTAAAGGGGTAACTGGTTACTTGTACACATCACTGGGTGATGGCTACCTGTAGCTGGTTAACCGGTGGCCCAGGTGGGCCGGAGCAGCCCCTGCCTGCATCACACCAGTGTGTGGCACTGCCACATCTCTGTAACTCTGAGCGGAGTTTGGGCCCTGACGGCCGCGGTTGCTGAGGAGTGACGCTCAGGGCTGCGGGGTGGTGAGCGGAAGGCACCGCCGCTACGGGGGTATGGTTAATAGGGAGCTCAGAGCATGGCAGAGTGGAAGCAAGGGTGAGGATCCAGGGCGGAGAACTGTGAACACCACCCCGTCTCCCAACTGAAGGGCTGCTCTGAGCTACAGGCTTTGCTCCGCGCCTGCTGTTTGAGAGGGGGCTGTCGTGCAATAACTGACTTCCTCGTTATCAGACTGACATCCTTCCGGCTTGCACGGGTGAACTTCCCTGTGTCATTTCAGCCAGCTAATCTCCCCCCTCACACCCGAGCCCCCACACACAACTCCATCAGATTTCACCGGCCACAAGTGGCCCAGCCCTGCTGCACTGAGTCATTCGACACGGTCCTGGCTCAAAAGAAAGGGTTATGATTCTAGCCCAAGGCTGATCTTGCCCCATCTGCAGGCAACAGGCTTTGGGCAGAAACAGACACCTGCCTTGCCCCGAGCAAGGCTTTCCAAAGGGGCTCCCGGTAAAAGCCTGATTCTCACCACTCTTTAGCTGGTGGATCCAGCGTTTGCGAAGCTCCTCTGTCGGGGAGAAGACGTAGAGGGGCCCTTCATCATACACCACCTGTGGGATGGACAGGCAGAATATAACCCCTTCGATTGTGTTCTCCCCCCACCCCCAGTGCTTATGCGACTGTGACCAGGAGTTATAAATATGCCCCCTCCCCCGAGACTTTCCACTTCCTCCTTTGACTTTCAATATTTCAGGGGCTGCTTTGTTCACCAAATGGGTCTCCGACAAGCAGGGAGCTCATGGGGCTTATGACTGGCTCAGAGAGGGGGGAAGAAGGGAAATTCCTTCACAATTCAGGCCACAAAGAGCTGAGTGTCTTTAAGTCTCCAGAACTGAAATCAGGAAAACTGTGTCTCTGTGAAGCTCACTGGCCAGCCAAGATATCAGAGACGGGCCTGAACCAACCCCCCAGATCTAAACATCCCCAAACTCTGCAGCAGACCCCCAGTTCTATCCCGGGTCGAACCAAAACCCTGCATCCGAAATTGTGGGCAAGTCTGGATCTGGATTCAAAAAGTGCTGTTTAGGCCCAGATAGGCACCCTGGCTCAAAGGCCAGCGTGCTAAAGCGGTGAGAAAGTTACTGTGTAAGCAACCCTGTGTAATGGAAACGTCCAGGCCACGCGCTAGGGTGCACCAGCTCGTTGAGCTAGTGTGAGTATAAATAGCAGTGCTGCAGCAGCACAGATGGCAGCAGCGGGCATGGCTGAGCAGTGCCAAGTACATACCCACCAGTTTCACATCAACATCTCTGACTTATCTGATCCCCGACACCGCAGTGGCTGATCCCCTCCCAGTCCCTCACAACACCCCGAAGGGCGGGGCAGCCTCGCTACCCACTTGTCCAGACAGGAAGTTGAGGGACACAGATCTTGTCTACACTTGACAATTAATTCAGATTAAGGTTGGGTGTGAATGCAAAGCACAGTCACTATCCCAGCTGAGCACCCTGTGGGCCCTCTGCTTCTGGAGTAAGAGCGGAGTGTCCCTGCTTAGCTTACTCCACTTTCAAAGTGGATTAGGCCCAGCACTGGTGTGATCCCAGGACAGCAAGGCCTAGGAACACTGCCCCCTCACGCAAAAGAAACCTGTGCCCACTGCAGCCAGTCCCAGCGGGAGGGGGGGGAAGAGTGA